TTGAGTATCGTTATTGTTGTTGTTATTCATGTGGTTGGGATTTTATGGATATTGATGATTTTGATGTAAATTTTATGACTTTGATGTTTTGTGGAACATATGGGTGTGTGTGTGTGTGTGTGTATTTTTTGCTATGTTATTATTATTATTATTATTATTATTATTATTATTAATATTTAATTTTTGGTGGTTGGTTTATTATATACTATATTCTACTGGATTTGTGGTTGGTTTAGAACTCGAGGCTGCAGTGTTCCCCAATATCCGCGGGAAAATGGTCAATGAATTGGGAATAAAAATGTACAAAAGGGTCAGTGTACTTACTTAGTTTGCAGCATTATCACTCAATATATAGTTGATAGAGTAATAATAGAGCTTATATGTTAGGTTTTAGGTGCCTAGAAGGGCCTTCCATGCATTTTAGAGCAGTGTCACACTCTAGCCATGAAAGGAAGATGAACCTCAAGATTTCAATCCAACCCACTAGACTTTGAACCTTGGTAGTATATATATTTTACTTATCCAACAAATTCATTATTATTATTTTATTTGTTTTGTATGAATAAAAGGATTAGTAAACTAAACATCGATAAAGGCTAAAATTGAGGAGAAAGGGGTTTGTTGATGGTCGTTCTCATCAGCTTTCCCCCTTTGTGGAGGGTGTGGGGCCCCCTGTGAGCCATGACCATGCACCGGGGACTCATGGACTTCCACAGTGCTCCAGTCCTAGGGTGAAAACTCATGTTTGGATTTTCTGTAGTTTTTGCCCTCCCCAGGATTTGAACCCCGTACCTTGAGCGTAAGGTGGGATTCATCAACAGGGGTAATTATGGAGAAATGAAAGATTGTGGTTTCGATTGATTGAAGTGGTGTGGCTGATTGAGACTGGAGCGAGAGAGAGGTCGTCATGGGAGTAATTAAAGAGAAAAGGGGTTTTGGAGAAACGAAAGATTATTAATTTCGATTCTTTTTTAGATGGCTGGTTGAACAAGCTAGCGTGTTTAAAGGGTATTTTGTTATATCTAGTTTAATTAATGGTGAGATGTATTAATTAATTAATCTTACCACACAACTAGTGTGTATAGATCATCCTATTTGTGTATATTTATCGGCATTTCTCAAGGTGGTCGGTCTAACCATTAGATTGATTGACAGTCTTTTCACAAAAAAATATATATATTTACTTTTAAAATTATCATATTCGAAGAACAATAAAATCAGAAGTGTAACATTTGATAATATCAATATAAATATATACAAACTTTTATAATTACAGTATAAATAATTGATCAATCTAACTATCAGTCTATCTCGTTCAAGAATTTGTGTACATGACTTTGTTCTAAGTATTGAGAAATTAAACACCCAATTTACAATAGAGTAAAGATTAAAACGACTAGAAAATGCACTTCTTCTTGTTGTTCTATAGCAATATGATGCATGCGTATATCATTAAATGGGCATTGATGTTATTGTTGTTGCCTAATGCTTAGACATATATTTGTACATACATGTGATATCGTTGATATAATTTTGTTGTTTATTATTATTTTTTTTTTCTATATATCTTCCTTTTCGTTTTTAATTCCTATTTTATTATTTATATATATATATAGGCTGCTAGATTTGGCACCACACTATATGCAACGAATTGGATCGACACATATGGTTGTATGTGAGAGTAATAAGTGTGATTCTGATCCAGCAGTTAAATAAATAAATAATAAAAATAATAAGGAGATTCTACGGTCCCGTTACGGAACTATTCCGTCGAGATTTGTAACCGTTAGATCAATTATTCATGATGGTTACATTATGATCTAATGGTTAGAAATCTCAATGGAATGGTTCTGTAACGGAACTGTATCATTTTTCAAAATAATAATGCCAATTTTAGAAACTTTCACTTGATTCAAATTGTATGTCCAGTGAACTTTTAGGAAAAGGACGTCTCATTAATCCTCGGGGAGAAAACACGCACATACACTTCCATTTTCATTTTATTTGTGTGTGTATGTGTGTGTATGTATATATATATATATATATATATATATATATATATAATTCTTTTATTTTTTTTTTGATGCAATTTATAATATTGCATATGGTCACGTTTTGGATGTTTTTTTTTTTTTNNNNTTTTTTTCATATGTGGAGTCTATTTTTGCAAATTGTATAAATCTGAAGATGTCTAGAAATAATACTTCACCAAAATAAATCTAATTTCTAAACTGAATAAATAAAATTAAAATAATATAGAGTGTTGTTATAATAACAGTTGTTACGTTGCTAAGTCAACCTAACCACTAGCTTGTTATAATAGGGGTTGGTTCAAATAAAAACTAGTTCTAGAGTGAAAACCGTAAAAATTGAACTAGATGCTGTTTAATTGCGCATAATGCTATTTTACAGTTACATGGTGCTACTATTTCACAAATGTTAATATAAATTGTATTGTTATTTTTAATAAAATGCACCATGGTTAAAACTTAAAACTAGGACTAAAACACAATTAATCGTAACAATATTTACAATTAAAAATAGCGATTCTCACGGTTCTTACACTAAGACTTAATTCTCACTGGTTCAAATAAAAACTAGTGTTGGTGTACGAACCGTGAGAATCATATTTGATTCTATTTATAATTGTGAACGGTGTTATTTTTAACACATATGGTGCTATCATTTTCACAAATGCTAATATAAATTGTGTTGATATTTTTAATAAAATAAATCTATGTTAAAAATAACACTAAAACAGAATTAATCATAACACTACGTACAACTAAAAATAGTGGCTCACGGTTCTCACAATAAAAAATTAATCTAAACTTAAATTTAGCTAAAATTTAACTCAATTCTATTATCTTCAATTTTATTTATATAATTAAATAATACTAATCAATCATTTTTGTACAAATATATATTTTTGCTTACATATGTTTTTCACAATTCCCTTCAATAGTAAAAAAAAAAATAAAAAAAAAATGTGTCAACATATGTTTTTGCACTTCATCGCGCTATCAGTAATAATTTTTTACATTCAATAGGTACAAAAAAAATAAAAATAAATATTTCAATCGGGTCACGTGAAAATTTGTGTAATAATAATTGTTAATAGCGCGATGAAAAAGAGCAGACCACTTTGAACAAGTAGGCTTTTATAGGGTGTGGAGATATTATAGGGTGAGGGCCATTGGAGCACTAGCGGCGCGTGAATTTAACTCGTGCCGTTCGGTCGCTTGGGGGATGGTCCGTTAGTAAACTATATATCATATATATATATATATATATATATTCAGCTACTTAGCTGAGAATGGCTTTTTGTGGTCCTAAAATTTCACACCAAATTAAATAATTAAAATGTTTTCTCAACGTCTCTCTAATTGAAGTAGTGTACGTACATATATATATCATCACTCTTTGTTTGTGCTCAACTTTCCCACCATCACCTTTTTCCTTTTTCTAAATTTTGTCATTTCGCACCTACTTGCAAACATTGTGCTAGAATTTTAGTGCTCAATGAGAAGCTCTCTTCGAGATTGGTGCTTTGCTAAGGGAAAATGTCCATGAAAGAAAGGATGTAAGGAATATATTAATGTATATAATAGAAATGTGGAGATTGAATTATTAGGG